CCTAGCGGTCGTTGGTTTACCTCACTTTACAAGGCATAGGCACATCGTAGCGCACATTGAGCCGCCTGCCGATTTGGCTGTCGAGGCGGAGTCTCTTCTGCCTCCCCCTCCTCCTCCCCCTCCTCTGATGACGATACCCAGCCTGCCGCCACCCTCGCCGCCTTAAGCTTATCCGCCTCCGCCTCCGCCTCCGCCTCCGCCTCCAGCTCTGCCGCCAACGCCGCCGCCCGGGCGCCCACAAACGCCACGGCCTCCTCCCCTCCCGCCACATACGAACAGAGCGCCTCCGAAAAGTAGCGCCCCGCGTAAGGCTCCATCAGTGCTTCGTAACGCAGGCGCGTTTCGGCAGCCGGTCCACGACTCTTGCCCGTCCACCCTCGTTTCTTCATCCCAAATTCGCAGAGCACGCGCACCAGCCCTTCCGGCAAGCGGGGCGCCGCCGCGCGGAGCGCCTGCGGCGCGGAATGCGGCGGCGGGAAGCGGAGGGTGGCGCCGTCGGCGTCCGTCCCGTAAAAGACGAGGCGCGCCATCGGCCGGCGTGACTGGAGCTGCGGCTTGCCCGCGGCGGTGAGCGGGGTGCGGTGAAGCACGGCGGAGTCCTCAAAGACGCAGATTGGCTGCGCCGCTGTGTCTGCGCCGCAGCCGACCGCGACGAAGTTGGAGGCGGCCACGCCGCGAGACAGCTCGTCGCTCGAGCCGAAGTCGACGGCGCAGGAGAAGTCAAAGCCGGGAGCCTCCGCCTCGCCCTCGGACGGCGGCGCGGGAGGCAGCGCCACCTCTGCCCACGCCATGTCCTCGTCGTCGGCGGCCAGGTAGTAGTGCGCCACGAGCTCCCCTGCCGCGTGGCCATCTTGGTGCCAGCCCATGTTTGCGCCGAGCGCCGGGTTGAAGAGCTCGAACGAGCCCGCCAACGAGCGCAGCTCCGGCGTCACCGAGCGCCACGCGTCAAACACGCGCTCGCGGACAAAGGAGAGCAGCCGCTCGTGTTGCGCGGGCGAGAAGAAGTCACCGTCGCACGCGTCGCCGCCCGGGTCGGCGTGCAGCCGGAAGCACGCGCCGCGGCCTCCTGATACGGACGAGTCTGGCACGGAGGCCCACAGCTCCTTTAGGAGCCGGTCGTGCGCCGCCGCTGCGACGCCACTTGGTGGAGAGAGGATAGCGAGAGGCGCGCTTGTCGACTCGCTGCGAGCGATAAGCGTGACCGATGAGTGGCTGCCGCTGCCGCACGGAATCTCGGCCACTATGAGATCATCGCCCCGCATGACGACAACTCAATTTTATCGATCAACACTTTCGCTAGACCGAAAGTAAGATCGTTCGGTGCAGAAACCCCGGCCATGCCCAGAGAGAGAGATTTTTAGCAATACCAAACAACTCTAACACTCACACGTAATTTGGGGCCTGGAGCCCTGTTCACGCGCGCGCGAGACGTGCAGACAGGGTTGCCAGGTGAGAGCGAATGGCGCGGTTCACGCCTCGCACAACAGAGAGAGAGATGCGCTCTGCATGGTGGGACATAAAGGAGAGCGAGTACTTGGGCGAGTAGGCCGTGCGGTCAACGCTGCCGCGCGCGACTTTGCGCGCGAGGCGGCGCAGCTTGAGAACGGCGGTGGGCGAGAAGCCGCCGCCGAACGTCTCGTGGAGCAGCAGGTTGAAGTTGTTGCGCTTGACAAAGATCGCGTCGTGGTAGAAACCGCGATGCGCCTTGACGTAGCCGTGGCCGGTCTTGTGGGAGAAGGGTTGGCTGGGCTGCCCGCGCGCCTTGCAGCCCATGTTCAGGCGGCGGGCCTTCTCCTCGGTGTTGCCGAAGGCGTAGGAGTGGCCAACGG